CCCCCCACCACCACCACCACCACCACCACCACCATTTTTTTCCCTTTTTTTAAATGTAGGCTATTGCAGGCCGGCTCTGTAATTTTGGAATCTGTCCTTGTGTATGGCGGACGGGAAAATTCCTCACCAGGAACGGTGACACAACCTCCCCCCCCGGTGTGGGAGCTGTGAGCGGACAGCCCGCACGATCCGGACTGTCGTCTTTTTGACGGCTCGTTACATTATTTGCTCCAAAAAAATGTAACGTAGCGTGTCGAAGCGGCGAGGGGGGGCAAACACAAGACTGGAGGGAAATTTCTAACATTTTTGAATTTCCTCATAACTAATTCACATTTTTCCCCTCCCCCGGAGGAGGAAGCCGTTGTTGCAGACACCCCTGGCCGAAGGGAGGCTTTTTCGTCGGGAGTGTTTTCGCATGAGCCACGGCGCTTTTGGAGGTATGTCAAATCACTTATTTTTATTTTTGAAAACAATTTTTTTAATTACAAATTTCCAGTAGCGGGCTAACGTCAAGTTTATGGCTGTTCCACTTGACTAATGGACGCGTCAGCTCAGTGTTCGCCTTCCAAACCAGGTGCAGCCATCATTGAGGAGCAATTTTGCTCGTGTGTCGCGGATTTTGATTTAGGAATTGTAACTTTGGAGTCATGTGCTGGGGGAAATGCAGCTAACCGATGCTGTAAGCGAGCTGTGGTAGCGAAATGAAGGGCGACGGGGAAGGGGAGGAACAATCTAAGCACACACAAAAACCTCTTGCAGCCATGTTTTTTTTTTTTTTTTTGGGTGAATTTTCCATCAAATTTGAGCAGGGCTCCGGAGTTGCCACCCCCCCTCTCCGGTACTCAGGCCACATCCACACCGCTCCTCGGTGTTTCTTTGACCGCCAAACACGCTTCACAGACGGATACGACCGTCACTTTATTGACGTCGAGTTAAAAAAAAAATCTTAATTTGTAATTTTTTACATAAAATAGACGTATTTTAAGATCTGAACTCTGCGACCGATTGGCGCCACCTGTAGGTAGCCATTTGGAGAAATTAAATACAAGCAGCATAATTTGATTAGTTTGGGATTTGTTATCACTTTACACACAATGTGCATTTTTTTTTTGGTTTCAAATGAAATTTAAAGTACTTTGATGTTCAACCCAATACATTGACAATTACCTTTTAAAAACAAATCCAATGGCAGGGTGCAAGTCATCTTTTTTCCTCCCTTGTTTTTTTTCCCCCTCAGGAGCCTCTGGCCCTGAATGGTTTTGCTTCAGGGTGACAAATGTAAATTATTACATTAGTTTTTCGTCCTAAGCTACTTAATCATGCACTTTACTATATTGTTGCCTTCAAATCTTTTGTTTTCCCTCCCTCCTTATTTTCCTTTTCGCCTTCCTTGTTTCAAGATTTATACATACCGGTATATATTTTTCTCATTTTGTGATTCATTCAGATTGGGGAATTTTACATGCAAAACTAAAAATAGTCCAAATTGAACAGAGTAGCTATGGAGGTAGAATGAGCATGTCAGCAAAAAAAAAAAAAAAAAAATGTAAGTCAGGAAAAACAATCACCAGCAGCGCTCCTGCGGTTTATTTTATTAATCTTGTGGTCGCGTTTCCCATTTTGCTCGACTTGGGTTTTTATTTGAGTCTGGTTGCCATTTTGCTCGGGGTAATTTGAATGCTGACCTTCAAGTCAAGTCCTCATTTCAAATTCAGTGGGCTGGTACAAAATTATAATAAATCTGACAGGACAATTCTGCCTTTGTTTTTCAGTTGAAATTTGATCTCAAGTAAAGAAATAGATGTTTTGTTTTGTTTCTAACAATAGACCTCCGAAGGGCTGAAACATTTGTTGTGCACTATTAATGATTGAGCAACCACAGTGTCTGATCTTACAAGCTAAAATAAGATGAATTGAATTTTGATTCAAATCGAACGATTTTTCTTCTTGCAGGAAGCCAACATAAAGGAACATGAGCCAAACAAATTACAAGTCGCTCTAAAGAGATTTGACAGAGCTGCAAGCATCTGAACATGTTAAATGAGATTTTCTATGGAAAATTTTGATTGCTTCCACATGCACAGTCTGGATCAGATCCGATTTTTTTTTTTCCACCAACTGTAAAAACAAAACAAAACACTGTCCATCTGACAACATGCTGTACGATAATACATATTGTAAGCAATGTTTTTTATATCTTTTTTCTCTAATTCTTTTTGTTTGAGTGACTTTAAGCATTAACGTTTCTGCCTGACGTCATGCCATGAGACTTCAAGTTTCAATTGAAACGTTCAACTCTAGAAGTCACTGACCGTGCTCCTTCATTTGGTAGACATGTTAAAAAAAATACAGTGTTAATTCTTGCTGCTCGTTGTACTCGTGTGCTAGCATATTTCGAATTAAGAATCTTAGTTAGCAATCCCGAGAACAGGTACAATTATTTTTAAAACAACCATCGGTGCTGTCGTATGTCGGAGGAAGACTGAGAACGGAGAACAGATGGCGGACGTTTCCAGTTTGTGTACAAACGACAGTGGTCTATCAAGTCACTGTGAGGGGTTTCTGTTTTCGTCGATATCAACTTGCTAGCCGAGTTTCTATTTTCTAAAGAAGAAAGATTTGCTTTCTTTGATTCCTCGCCAGTCCTTTTAAGCACTATTCCGGATGAGTGATGTGGGTTAAAATGAGCCTTTTAGAATCCATTTTGAGCATAGCAGGCATCCACTGTTCTCTTGTGTTCTCAGTGGCTGTGCTGAAAATGTCTGAAAATTGCTTAATTTATATTAGTCCCTGGGAAATTGCTTTTCAGGGGTTAGGGCCGCCGCATAAAATGCTGTGCTTTCCGCTCATATTTCTTCCTCTCCTTTCCCTTGTAAAAATGAACCTTATTGGTTTGATGAATAATGCATCAGGACATTCATTTGCTACAGCAGTGAAAATTAGGCTTGTTTACGTGTACACAAAATTGTTTTTTTTCTTTTTTTCCACTTGACCATTTTGTGAAGGTAGCGCCTGTGTTGCTTTTCTGGGGCAAAGAAAAAAAAAATCAGCAGAGCAAATGTAATTTCTGTGCGCGGTTAAAAAAAATAAAAATAAAAAATGGGGGAGGGCTGAAACCGGTGCGGGTGTAATGAATCCATAAATCACAATGGTGCCAGGTTTGCCTCGCCCCGCGTATGTTTGCAGTGTAATTTTGATTTCCATCAAAAATTTAATCTGCCATCCTACAAGGGTTTTAGCAGCGGATTGGATGCTGTCTTGAATTTCTAATTTTAGGACCCTGATCTTTCTGGATTTATTTCTGCATGATTCAAGTCTGCTTTTCAATATCTCCTGTTATTAAAATTTAATTCACAGCATTAACATATAGATTGAAAATGTTTTTTATGGGGGGTTGTGGAGTGAATACCACTGGAATTTTACTAGACGCCAGTTTGTTGCATAGTCTCTGGTGTGTGTGCTTGTGTATGTTGAAATGGGGTTGCTGGTGGGGGATTTATGTATTTCTTTGCGTTATTGCTTTTTGAAATTATGGTCAAGCTCAATATTAGAACACATTTATTACGAGAGGACAGGAAAATGTACGTTTGATGAAGGCAAGACGATTCTCGGCTCTGCATAACACAAACCAATGCAGTGAAAGCAGTGATTGAAGTGACCCGTCCATCCTCCATTTTTAACTCGCTCCTATTTTTACTCCTCCTCTGGAGAGTGCAAACATTTTCCTGATCCCTTAAACAAATTTGTATTTCATACTTGGATTTTCTTTTCCTGTGTATTTGACTTGCAAAGCAGATGGTTTTTGGTTTTTGTTTTTTTTTTGAGGGGGGGGCAAAGTAAAATCAGCAATCCAGTTTACTCTGTTGTTCTGAAAGTGATTGATTCGCTTCATTATTGTGTGCGCATAGCAGCACTTTGACCAAATATAGGGCAATTATTTTTGGTAGCTAAGCAGCGCAAGCATTGCATTCTTCACGGAAGATACAAAAAAAGCTGTGTTTTTTTTTTCCCTAACCTTACAGTCAAGCTTTAGATATCGGAAATTAACTGTTAGCAGCATTGTATTTGACACAACATTACAACGTACACAAAAACAGTGTACATTTCTTAAATCAGACGCTTCTCCTAACAAGGGTCACGGACGTGCTGGAGCCTATCCCAGCTCTCTTCGGGCAGTAGGCAGGGGACACCCTGAACCGGTTGCTAGCCAATCGCAGGGCACGCATGGATGAACAACCATTTGCGTCCACAATCACACTTAGGGACAATTTAGTGTTCCACTAACCTGCCATGCACGTTTTTGGAATGTGGGAGTTTTTGATATTTTTGTTATTTTTCTTTGGCCACTGTGAATGGGTAGGACCCAAATAATTTTGACATCGTCACACTACTTTTGGACCAGCGTTACATGTAGGGGTCGACGATATACAGTATATCGTCCTCAAAATTATGGTCAAAGTTGTTTTCATGAAGACAATACATATTCAGAAATCACCATATTAATGACATTTTTATACCATACAGTATATCATTGTCAGGAAACGTGTACATCTATCCAAGGTCTACTGTACATGCCGAGCTGCTTACAGAGTGTGCAGAAAAAAAAAATGAGTGCGGCGCGCCTGAGGGAGCAAGAGAGAGAGTCATTCAGACAGAGCGAGATGAGGTGTGCGTATGGAGCGGTGCTGCTTGGCGGGGTTGTGGCAGAAAGGGGCACCACGGTACCGTAATGTATGATGTGGCGCGCACCTAAAAAGATGAACTTTCCAACGCAATTTGGCATTTTGGGACATTCATGGACATCAAGCAGCCTTTGTTCGAGTCTATGAACGTTCGTAACATGAGCCTTCACGAGTCAGGATACCTCTACGATGTTTTGCAGATGTATGAAGCAATAGTAATAATAACGACGAGACGGCCATTACCCCTGCTGGAGTGGCGAGTGGGATCGATACATTTTGAGCTGACACCACCAAAGATCTATACGTTTGATACTTCATTAAAAAGAGGCTGTGCATTTGCAGTATAATTCCACTGAGGATAATCGGTACTGGAATCGATGAGCTGACTCTCACGCAAGCAAGACAGCGGGGAGGAGCATGTTTGTAATGAAAGTTAATATAATCGTTAAACATTGACAGGTCGTGCCAAAATCTTCGAGGGACCATCCAGCCGGGATGGCGACAATATGGAACCGCACAAAATCTAAATAGGTTCCTCTTTCATTTCACAGTTTATCCTAATAAGTGCCCTTTCATAGTCTCACCCAAGGTAATTATCACTCACTTATGTTGCCCGCTCCATGTCATTAACATGTGACTTTGTCTGCTCCTCTGTCATTAACCACACGGAAGTTCAGGGTCGGAGAAGGTGGAGTCATGAGTGCACAAGAGTCACCCAGGGTTGGAGAAGGCGGAGTCACGAGTGCACAAGAGTCACCCAGGGTTGGAGAAGGCGGAGTCATGAGTGCACAAGAGTCACCCAATCCCGGCAAGGAGCTCGGAAGCGGCGGCAGCAACGGTCCCCCTTCGACTTCCGCCGTGGTCAGCCAGGACGCCGGCTTGCCTCCGGTCACGATCAAGAAGGAACCGGGCACCACGGAGACGAGCAACGGCACCTTTGGTGACGCCAACCCGGCGGAGATCTGCGTCGTCATCGGAGGAAACGACGGCAAAGCGAGCGGAGGCGGATCTCGCAGAGGCCAGACGGAGGGTATGTTCGCTCTTGGTACTCCTCCCCCAACCAAGAGCACAGACTCGTGCATAGGTGTGTTGCCAAATGTACACATACTGTACAATATAATCCAATACAATACATCCTGATTTATATAGCTGTACACATGTTAAGGTTGCAAAAATGTTTGCAAACAGTTTTAATGGTCGCAAGCAGTTTTTCTTATCGTCAACTCAGTGTGACTACCGCGTTGCCAGTTGCCCGTCCCTGAACTAAGATATTCCTTTGTTTGGTGCTAGCAGTACCTAATTGTATTGAATGATATATGGATTGACAAAACCTCTCTCCTTATCTAGGTTCCTATGTATGTGGAGTTTGTGGGAAGAAGTACAAGTATTACAACTGCTTCCAGACGCACGTTAGAGCACACAGAGGTAAGAGATGGTCCCAAAATGTCATGCACAAAAACAATCGTTTCGTCGAGAGAGAGAGAGAGAGAAAATGGCCTAATACTGATTTCCTCTGCATTACAGAATCTGAGAGCATGGTTGCGGATCTGCAACCAACGCCCAACAGTGAGTGTTCTTTTTACAATTATTATTATTTGAGGACAAAATCAAAGGTGATCGGAGGCATTCTACCCAGTTTTGCAGGCCAAGACTCACTGTGTCAAAGGTCATTGTGTTTCTCAGGCACATTAGCATCCTTCCCAGGATTCCTGCTAGAAGTTTTATCAGGACTAATCATTCTCATACCTCACAGTGCTTGTTTAACATACACTCTCTGTGGTCAGTTCGGGCTCACTACTAAAAGGCAGTTGTTTCAAAATTGGGAAGGCGTGCAAAAGCCCAGTTGTCTTTTTGCTGGCAAATACAATCTGTCGCTACATTAAAATCCACAAACGGGTGGAACCAAAACGTCCGTTCGAATGAGTAGACCACAGAGGTTGCAACAAATTATGATAGATTAAATTCCTTAAAATGATGCGACTTGCTGGGTTATAGCCTTTTTTATTTCATTCCACAATTAAATAGTATACTTGATGAATACTCATTAGAATGACGTTTTCAAATAGAATGTGTGTCGCTGAGAAATTCCCAAATGAAAAGTAATTTTCCATTTTGACTGTAAAACGGGTGCACTGCAGTGCTTCCCAAATGAAATGAAAACTGCCTGTTTGTGTTCTAAGTGATGTCAGAATTTTCCCACATGTACCTCCTAAAATAGTCTGTGATCGTCCATCAAGACCAGTGGGCTTTATCTTTAACTCCAGATTTTACGACAGCAAATAAAATCTTTGGTTGCGCTATCTTTAACTTGAAAAAAAAAAAAACACCACAAAACTCAACACACATTAATTGTGACAATCAACCCATTTTTTTTAAGACAAAGAGAAAATATTCGTTCCATATAAGTGATTGTTTTGTCAAAATATAATTGGGGGAGCCTTTTGGGAAAACTTCCTAACCATCACACAAAATCTTCAACAAAACAGGGACTTTACAGGCACATAAACCCACACTATTGGTAGGGAAGAGGATGTTTCAAGGCACAATGTGTAAAATGCACTAATAGACTGCAGCGACGCAATTTCTGATATCACCTTGTACGTCAACTGCTGTATTATGCTGTTGGTCTGAACATTCAAAGTTGATGTTGTGTCAAAACTTGCGCAGTAAAATGTGAATTGAAACCATTGTGATTTCTGCAAATATTTATCAGTCATGCAGTGAAAATGTCATCATGCTAGTTTATCTCAGTAACTTGATGAACGAGAAGACATTGGTTTACAATTTTTAGCAAGCCTCATATGGCCAATATTGCAACAGGGATTTTTAGTTCGGATCACGGGGATAGAGGATACTTGTAGAAGTGTTTTACTTCTTGCCAAAGATTTTTTATTGACATGTTAGGCAGAGATTTATTTATTTTTTGTGTGTTATGGCCTTGAATCAACTTATTTTTCATATTTTTTTTTCTCTCATATCTGCGCATCTGTTAGGTGGCTTCCGTTATTCCTGTGACATCTGCGGCAAGAAGTATAAATACTACAGCTGCTTCCAGGAACACCGTGACCTGCACGCAGTGGATGGTAACGGAGCAAATTTCAGTGGGCTGCAAAACAAAAATGGAATAAAAAAAAACGTAAAAAAAAAAAAAATGCCAGAGCTAAAGAACGATCCTGAAGGAAATGCTTTATTGATGGCAAACGTGTGTTTTGTAGCCCTACTAATGATCACTCGTATTCACACTCTGTCAGAATGTCACTTCATGTCTGACGATATTTTTACGTTGCATCCGATTGCGTTTGGAGTTTTCAACCATTGTGGATGTCGTTTGGACCCATTGCGACAAACAAAGCTGCATTTTAGGATGGCGGTGAGTCATTTAGGATCAACCTTTCACATCCATCCTCTGCCCTGTCCCTTTTAGATCCATATGAGCAGGTCATGATACCCATCGATGGCCTTAAAGAGGAGGAGCCGGTTGAATCCTATCCTAAAATTGGACCAAGTAAGACCTTTTAATGTCTTCTAATTTCGGCGTTCCTCTGCATTTTTATGCACCTCTCTTCAAATAAATACTTCCTTCTCATGTGATGCCGCCATGTGTCGCTATCGGACACCTTTTGTCAAATGAAAACTGGATGGATGTGTGTGTTTGCGTGTGGCACTTTTACAACAGCTGCAGCTGTAATAAAGCGCTTTATAGAACATTTAACATACAATAAAAATAATACAACAGAACCCGTAAAATGAAACATGGACAATAATACAATCGTAACAGCTACTGCGTGCTCATTCCATTAAGAAATTGTCTTTCTTAAAACCATTGATGAATGCTGTCCTGCAAACCAAATGTGCATCTTTAACTGTCGACTAAAATACAATGATTTATAAACTACTGTAATTTACAGACTATAAACCATTCGTTTTTTTCACATGCTTTTAACACTGCGGCTTAAACAATGATGCAGCTAACTTATGGATTTTTACGGGCTAATGAGTTTCGTGCCGCCAATATAGTCAGGGTCAATTCCAATTATAACCCTTAGCCCTCGGTTGTAGGCGTTTACGAGAACAAAGGGGTGTACCGATTCCCAGAGGGCTTGGTCTCACATCAGGTTCTGACATATCGGCTGCGACCTGCTGAAATGTGGCCTGACAGGGTCCAACATTCGGCCTTTTTGAGTGGTGGCTGTGCCAGAACCAGCACTGGCACTCTATATTCATGATGTAGTGTAATACAATAAGTTCCAATGAATAATTCATATTTACCGTCTTTATACTGTATTCAGCCTTGAAGAAAATGTGACTTCTGTGTCGATATTTGCGATCTATATTTGACACACAAAACAGAAAAATGCTGACTGATTCTTAACTGAGCCCTGAGCAACTATGTCATTTTTTTAGTCGCCGGCGACTCGTTAGCTTTTCGCTAACTTTGGACTGGTCTGCTTGCCGGTACACCCAAAACTGTGGAATTTTTTTTTTTTTTTTTTTTTAATCCATATACAAAGTCAGAATTGGGTGTTTCTTGAAGTAATTTCCTCTCCAATTGAAAGAATGCTAATGTGCTTGCTTGAGATTCACATTATACTGGACTATACTGTAAGATCTAATATGTGGTACACTACCTTTTTTTCCCCATTTGATTTCATCTTAATTTAAGACACATTTTTCTGTGCTTTCATTTCCCTTCTCCTGCAGAAACGGGCAGCTTTGTTTGTGAGTTCTGCGGGAAGCAGTACAAATATTTCAACCCCTACCAGGAGCACGTTGCGCTTCACACACCCATGAGTGAGCCTTTTGTTGTTGGGTTTTTTGTTGTTGTTGCTTTTTATTGCTCATAAGTGAAAGTGTTTTTCTGTCAAATGTTTCATCAAATAACCTGAACATTTAAGGTCTTTTAATGCCCTCGATTGCCTTGTAAATGTCATCTCTTCCTCCTTCTGACCCATCGCCGTGAAGCCAATAATAATTGGTAACCACACCGAGTTGGTGGTCTCGGTGTATTGTGTGGGCGAACGTGCCTCTGCCTCTTTCGAAAATGATTGAACAAAAGCTCTTCTGCAATGGGTAACTTGCGCATCAAAGTTCAACAAAGTTGTAAAGGCCTCTACGCTGGCTTTCGCACTTATTGCACTGATGCGACCAACTTTTTCAGTCGGTCGCACGACTCGCACAGGTTTTGGTTGCACCCGTTTTTGGGGTGGTACAGCATGAGCATGTTTGCTGATGTATAGTCGTCATGTGCAGGGAAACTGTTTTGCACGGGGTTTTGTTTCGCTAATTTGTCCTCGGAGAATAGAGGCGCTTGAGTTGCACATGCCTATAACTGTATGTTCGCCAAAAAACAAGCAAGTGAATTTTGCGGCGTGGTTTATGTTTGCACAGGCGGATTGCTATGAGGGGTGGAAGTCCCGCGAATGCTATCTACAGCCACATCGGTTGAATCCTGGGCAATATATATTGTATTGACTTCCCCTGCATAAAATATGCTTATACGGGCACGATATAATTTTACATTCTTAATAATGATACGACATGCCATTTCTGGACAGGACAGTCAATCCTAGTGTTTATTTTATTCCTCTAAGCATGTGTGTATTTCATGCCAACAATAGTGAAATGTCCTGTGTTTCTCCTATTAGGCTCCTTTGATTTGACGGCATCTCGAGTGCAGGAGTGCGGAAGCTTGGACATGAGTAAATTTGGCCACAGCCAAACTGATAAGATTAAAAGTAAGTGAGTTTTGTTTCTCTCTCTCTCTCTCTCTCTCTCTCTCTCGCTCTCGCTCTCTGTCTCTCTCGCAATTGTCTGTACACATGCAGAGAAGACAAAAGCAAGTACAATGTAGCTAGATTGCAGACGTTAATATTCATCATCAGTTTGATCGCGGCATGAGAATGCTCTGTAATTAGCGGAGCTTGTCGGCACGGCGAATTGTCGTGTTGTTCGTAAACAGACGGGCCAAAATTAAAAAAGCGATTGAAACAACGGCAGAAAACAATCAAGCAATCAAACATTTATAAAGTGCTTTTCATCCAGAAGAGCAACTCAAAGAGCTTTCTCTTTGAGTTGCTCTAAGAGCAACTCAATTGCTATAATCAAGCTTCCTACCTCTTGTAAATGCACAGACAATTACACAGGTTACAAATAACGGCCGATGGTATACGGCTGGCTGCTGAGGATCCAGGTGAGGAAACACAAGCTGCAAAGGACAGTAGTCCTATATGTATACAAGCAATTAAAAAGTGAATTTTCCATAGTTTCCTTTTAAGAATACAGTGTATATCTCAGCAAATGCTAAGAAATGTGCCTCTGTCAATTGTATGAAAAGTCCAAATTCTAATTGTATGCAATATTGTTTTCAAACATGAAAAACCATAAAGAGCTATTTAAAGCATGCACATTTTTTTTTTAAATGTGGGTCAAAAAGATGAAGCGACGTGCTGTAACATAAGCTCACATGTCAATGTGAAATGAACAGCTGCAACATGAGCGTTATTGAATTCACAACCTCATTTGATGCATTCGCCACGAACTAACATTAAAACTGCATACAGTGCCATTGATTTTCGTCGTGGCTTTCAACATAAAAGAAAATCTCTCAATATGCAGCATTGTGATTAGTGTCTGCTGTTTTTGCTTTTACACAGCCAGTCACTTCAGACGGAAACTGGAGAATGCATTACAGTCTAGCCTGGTTGACACAAACAGTTCACGGAATTCTAGTGGTGAGTCGTATCTCTTTTTTTTTTTTTTTTCTTGTGCAACATCAAAGTTACCAATGTTCACCCCTGAAAGAGTCTGAGTCTCTCGCAGCGTGTGCTACTTCTCATTGATGAGTTCAATTAAACATATGTTGAACATGATTGCAAATGATTGTATTCTGTTTTTTTTTCATGTTTGTATTATTTATTACATGCGCATGTGTGACACATTTGTACCTTGAATCAAAATGGAAAAATAAAAGAAGCAAACGCGGTAATCGCATTCCCTCTTCTCAACCTCCAAACAGGCACGCCAAGCCCTCTGGTGGCCACTTCCTTCCCGACACCTCAGAGTAAGTGCAAGCCCCACCCCCACCTATCTACCTTTCCGCTTGAAACAAATGTCCAGTATGCGTACGCTGCTCTCCATTGCATGTCACTTTTGGTTCTCTGCAAGCCATTGTGCGTCTACTCTACACATGTGCTGCATTCATCATCACTCGAGAAAGAACTCCCAAGGGCATGAATATTAGGTTGATTGTACATTTGTAGGGGGCTTGGATCCGGGCCTTTTGAAGTGTGCCACAATGAGAAGATAATCAGTTCAGTGAAATACAGGCCAGGACTAAGTCAACCCAACCACATTTTCAACAAGTCGTTACAAATCCTTTGCAAAATTTTAATTCATATCTATTTTTTTTTCCAACCTATCACAAAGAGCTTTCATTGCGAAGCACCTATTACGCTATCGCTATCCTTGTCGTCTCTGCCCTTGTATTTTCTGGGTCTTGAGTTCTGAATTTTCAGCCCTCATCAAATATATTCTGTTACTCCTGGAACAAAAAACATATCTACTGGGCTTTTTAATGTATAACTGAAGCTTGCTCAGCCAATATTTTATTGTGATCTATTTTGTTTGAGCTGTTTTTAAGCGTTGGCTGCCTCAACCTTTCTACAAGGCGTACCAATCCAAAATCTTTTACTCTCTTTTATGTTGTGATTCTATTTTCTATTTGGTATGCTTCTATACCAACATGCTGGTTCTTGAGTTAGGACAGAGTTGGACTGAGGCTGCCCTGCATGCAATACCGACACATGTTCTTCTCCAAAGTTTCTAAAGTTTTGTCAGCTGCGTTTTCAAGATAAATGCTAGAAGAAATAAAGTTGACAAAAGAAGTTAGAGTGCTTCATTGTTGGGATGTACGATAACTATTCGACTTTATCCAATATACACTACTCACAAAAAGTTGGAGATATTTGGATTGTGGGTGAAATTTCAGGATGAGCCGAAAATAGTTTCAAACAGCTCGACCATGTTGTGCAAAGTGAAGTTGAGTGTCTGTGATACACTTTGGGTTTATGGATTGGATTGGACTGGTTCGAATAAAAACAATACAGATCGAGGTATTTTGGCTTGGATTGGAGCGAAACTGTGAGGTGACATTCATGATTCATGTTGGATGTTGGTAATTGAGCAAATTAGAGAGGATGGGATAATGGATGGATGGATAATTAGAAGATGAAGCAACTCGTGAGCACAAGCCGATGTTGTTCATTGTAAATTACGACTCGTGACAAGTCCCCACAAGTGTGTGTGAGTGTGTTATATTTACATATGTATTTATATTAGTTAATAATATGACCAAATTGTGAATTTGTCATTTTCATTAAGTTGCAGTCTCTCAACTCATTCATTTTGAATGAATCAAATAACAGTTTTGGGAACTTACCAAGCACACTGCAACCAGTTAAACATTATAGCATTTAGATATTAAATGAAAACATTGAGAGGTCCCTGAAATGTATTTTTCAACAATATACTACACATACTGTACAGCATGTTATCCTTCAGTCTGAGCTGTAGAATCCTTTGGTTTCTATGACTTTGTCCAGTATACATTTGTGAAATAATGGGTAACTTTGTTTCCAACACTTTATTCAATGTTGTGTGTCTTTGCAACGTAGTTTAAAGTCGTTTGTGGGTTATCGTTATTTTTTTTCCATTCAGATTTCAGCTTCTGTGTTGCTATATCAGCATAAATTTCCCAAAGCTTTCACACGCAGATTTGCCAGCGTCGTCCAATTGAAACAACACAATAGCTTTATTATTTATTATTATTCAATATATTTTTTTAAAGAATCTGCCCAAATCAGTTTTCAGAGTCAATATGAAAGGGCCTTTTAGAATACTTTGGGGCTTGGTCAGCACTTTTCCGTCCTCTGATTGGTGCAGAGCGACGCCTGTGGGATTCATTGCATGAAGCCTGGAGCGGACAAATGGACATGACAGAAAATTGATTTTCAAGGCGGACTCTTCAAAAAAAAAAGAAAGAAAAAAAACAATTGTGATGATCGGACAACACTTAGAGCTGGCTGGCTTAAAGGATTTATTTGACACTTTCATACTAACTTCATAACAGTTCTCAACACCGTTAGCAAAAGAGAATGGAGTTCGTCTAAATGAGCATCTCTGGTGCGTACGATGTATTTTATTTCATGTTTTATCTTCTTATGACGTGAGTAGATCACGGTTTTTACACTTTTATACTGTAGTGAAGAGATTTTTTAGCTGAACGTTGAAATGGAGCCGCTGACAGCGTGGTGGTACGTTCGCCTGACTTTGTTCAGTGCAGTTTGTGTGGGCTCAGTTCTCAGTGACACAGTGAGAGTGAGCGCAACTGGTTGCCTGTCTCAATATGTGCCCTGGATTGGCGACAAGCTCCGGGTGTAGTCCCGTCTTTCGCCTGAAGTCAGCCTGGATAAATTCCGGCACCCGTTACCCAAAACAGGAGGATGGGCGTCATAAAGGCAGGATGGATGTTGTCGTCACCGGGGACTGTGGCGCCCGGTTTTCCCAGAGTTACTAGCCACTCAACTTTTTAACAAAACAGAATCGCAGATGGTGTTTTTGTTGTGTTGGTCCTAAGGAAACTTTCTAAACTTTCTTGTGCGGGGAGGGCGAGGTGGTGGGGAGGGAGGTTTGCTTCGTGAAGTCACACATCTGATTGGCACGGCACGCCAATGATATGGATAAACTTGTACAGTATGTATGTATATGTGTGTACATATCAACGTACGTACATACAAAGTATGTATCTGGAAACGTATGTATGTACTGTCTTTGTATCGCGTGTAGTATACCAAAAAAAAAAAAGGCAGCGGTTATCAGTAGCAGGAAGTTATTGGTGGGAATGAAACCTATCGTGCATCCTTTCTTGGTAGTATTGCTATTCTAGGCCTACACATGGCGTAAAGCCAGAATGAAGGCAGCTGAATGGACAGATGCATTAGCATTTGTGCTTTTGTCACCAAAGAGAGATTCAACTCTCTTCTGGGCCTTGTGATTTTTTAGAACCCTACACTTGTGGTGCCTGTGGCATCCAGTTCCAGTTCTACAACAACCTGCTGGAGCACATGCAGTCCCACGCTGGTGAGTCCACTCTCACAAATGCATGTTGAAGCTCAGCAGTGAAGCAAGCACAGAATTTTCAATGGCTGCAATTGATGTGGAAGTCTGTACAAGCAAACGTGTTTTCGGCATCAAGTTCTCCCATGTGGTTGTTGCAGATCTGGTTCTGGGACACCTGGTTCCAATTCTTTGTTTTTTTTTGTTTTTTTTTCGGTAGTATCATCAGGTAGCCGTGCAATGGCTTAATTATCGTATTTGTACTTGATAAAGAGTCTGTCTGTCCGTGTGCAGTTTCAGTGATAAACTAGGCATATCCAGGCTTCATAATTATCTTTGGATTTATGATTACCTTCCATTTTGTTTTTAATTTTCCAGTTTTGTTTTGACTGTAGGTCCATACATCAAACTAATTTGACAGCATTTGTCCGATCTGCATGTGAGAACTGGTTGTTGCAATTATTCATCTGACATTTTACTTTGAAGTCAGGACCATATTTGAAACATTCGCATTCTTCCACTTTGTTTCTGTTTTTCGGTGCCTATATCTTTTCACTTCCTGTTTTCGTCCCTCCATAATCTTGCATTTCCACCTCTTTTTTTTTTTCATTTGAAGATGAAGATACCATGGCTGAAATCGCTCCTCTTTATTCCCTCAGCCGACAACGAGAACCACACCAAAGGAGACTCTCCAAAAGCCTCCTCAGCCTCGGGTCCTCAGGAGCCGCTTTGGAGAGCGTCTCCGGCTCAGGCACCGCACCCTCCCGTCAAACTACAGATACAACCTCAAAGTCTCGTCCAGAGGAACCACAATATCACCCGTACGTTATTGCAAACGTCACTCGACTACGCCGCCTTTTAATTTCACAAAACCAAACGGCTGCGGTACGTCATCTACTCAAACTCTTCCAAACGCATGAGTGAGATAAATACAACAACAATAAGGCCTTACCCCGAACCTTTTTATGTCGGTGGAAATGAGTCATCACAAGCATGATGTATGATGATGCTTGTCGCCGGCGAAGGCTCGCTCTGTGGCACCGTCCTCACAGACTTTGATTTTTGTTCTTTTATACGCTGCGGCGATTTGACAGTCAACAATTTTTTAAAATCAATTTTTGACCAAATTGATTGACAACTATTTTTCATCATCAAGTAATCTTTTAGAGTCGTTTCACTTATAACTGTCCAAATCCTGATTTCAGCCACATTCAAGGTAAATAATGCTGCCAAATGTAAATCTTGATCCCTGTCGACGCAGTTGAGGTTCATTATGATCCATTTTTATTGTTCATCTTGTCCTGATTGACATTTCTTTTTGACCAGATAATAATGGGCTGCCTGAGAAGGAGCGGCTACAGGTGGCTGAGCGTCTCTTACGGGTAATGTGTTCTGATCTGAACATGCTCAACGTGCTCAACAGCAAGGACTTCCTCAAGCTGGCACAGACGTTGGTGGACACGGGGGCACGTCACGGTGCTTACTCCACCCGTGATGCCCTCGGCAACATGAGTGCCTTGGCGCTGCGTCAGCTACCCCGCATGTACAACCAGGTCAAGGTCAAGGTGACGTGCGCCCTCGGCTCCAACGCCTCTCTTGGCATCGCCGTCACCTGCCACTCCCAGACATCAGGGCCGGACGCTTGCTACGTTCTAACAGCGTACCAGGTGGAGGGGTCGAGACTGAAACGCTACGTTCTTGGCGTGCGGGAGGCGGAGCTGAGGGAGGGGCCGGAGCAGATTCACCACTGGGTCCAGAATGTATTGTCTGAATTTGTGATGTCAGACATTCGCACTGTGTACGTGGCGGAGCCCCGGGTGTCGGCGGCCGGATTCGGGGTCTCTTCGCTCGGTGGCAGGGGCAGGATATGCTTACGCTGCGCCGGGTGTTCGCTCGGCGCAGTGGTACAGGCAGTCCTCGGGAAACGTAGCCTTCAGGCTCGAGGCCTTCACGAGCTGGCCGAACTCCTCGCCACATGCAAGGACATCTCCACCTCCACCACACTGACACTGAGGGAGGAGCAGCACACCAATGCTTCCCTTAGCATGACCGAAGAAGGAGCGCAGGGCAGCGCTGCCCAGTGCCCCACCCCTCCCTGTTGGGACCGTACGGCCGAGGCCCTTCTGCAGGTCCATGCCCACTTTGAGCACATCTGTGAGACATACGGACGCAGTAAGTCCACAGCGCCGCTGCTCCAGGGACTCAACAAGCATTTGCTCGGCACGCTGACTTGTCTGCTGGCTCCTCTGCGCCTGGCAGCGCTGGAGCTGAGCAGCCAAAGGAGACCCACCCTGCAGCAGGTGCTTCCCGTCTACCTGCGCCTGGAGAAGTTTTTCACTTCCAAAGCCGGAGAAGCGGGAACCGGCATGGCCAGCAAACTCTGCCACTACTTCCTAGAAGCGCTCAAGGAGAACTTTAAGGTAATATATTCAAATTGTTGCAAATGTTATTGTTCGGACTACACTATAATTAATCTCATTCGATTTTTTTTTCCCCTGAGAAACAATTATCGTAGAACTGTGACTCGATTTATAAGCTTTCGATACTTGGTACACTTCAGTGCTATTAAACTACGGGAGGAAGGATTGAGCCAAGGTATTATCCATTTTAAATGCGAAAAATGTCACCAACCAAAAATATCACATAAAGTAGTCCTACTGAAATTAATGCTCGCATCGAATTCATTCCGTGACTCGATGGATAAACCACCGTCATGAGAATAGAAACATCCGTCCTGTCCCCAGGTTGAGCGAGCCCACCAGGTGGCGATGGTGTTGGACCCTCAACTCAAGCTACGTTCAGTTCCCGCTTACCAGCACGAGGACATCATCTCCCGCGCCTGCGAACTTGCCGCCGAACCCAGGGACGGCGGCATGACCGCGGCCGGGGCGTCGTGCGGCGAGGAGCGGGACGCCGACGGCCCTCCCATGCCCAAAATCACCCGAGTGGAGGGGGCGGGAAACAACGGCGGCCTTTCCAGGATGACCTTGTCCACCAACGACGAGAGTCAAAGCCACGTCAGGCAAGAGATCTTCCAGTACCTGGCGGAGCCTCTCCTCCAAGGCACCACCGATCTCTTCCACTACTGGAGCGCGACAATGGGCGACAGGTTCCCCAAGCTTGCCCGCCTGGCGCTGTGGCTCCTGGCTGTGCCGGCGGTGGGCATACGAAGCGAGTGCGTAACTGTGTGCGAGCAGAGCCTGGCCATGAAGAGGAGGCAGCAGGTAACCGCCGAAGAAATGAACAAACTCATTTTCCTTCGCTCCAACATGGGCTAACCAACCAAACCTTCACCTTCCACCAGAGACTTATTTATATACACTAAGGCCGACTGTAAAGCTAAATGTGTATGGAGAGGCGGGAAAAAAAAAAAAGAAGACATTTTTAGGTTGCAAGCACTTGGAACAGTAAGGCTTGTCGCATACTAAATGACACACTGACAAGTAGATGTTCAGTGCTTTCGGGACGGAGCAGTTATGTGAGTGTCAGGTGAGCCTCTTTTGTCTGGCTTGAAGACTCAACTGCTTTAAAGGCTACATGCTGTTAGACTTACGGGATGGCAGGTAAGGTCAGTAAGAGTGAGCTTGCTGGCATAAATACAACACACAAAACGGTTCAGAAATTTCACTGCCTTTTGCACCTCTTCAGTCATTTGTGGCAATGACGCCAAGATTTTTTTTTTATTTCAACAACCGCCTCCCCAAAATCTGCTCAACCACTCACCTTTTTGTTCAAAAAGGTTCAGTACACTAAGAGTTGATTACAATCTTATGCCCTTGTCATACGCTAACATCGTCCACTGTTTCTTTTGGCTGGATTTACACCGCAGGGCCAAGTGGCTACTTCCGAGGACCCTGAATCGACTTTTTTTGTATTATTGTTATTATTTTATCTTTTACATCTACATTTCAAGTGTCACACACTGTACCCGATAAAGCCGAGTTTACGATCTACAATATGATCCAAATTCTGCGCAAATGAGTATACAAGCATCGACGCCAGGCATTGAGACAGAAGAGAAAAAAAAATCATAGAAATATTTAACATTATGATGATATGAGAGCCACCTCAGCATTGCTCCACTGGCTACGCTCTCCAAAAATGTTACTTCTTTAATGATGGCCTTGCATTTTTCATTGCAGTGTTTTTTCTTGATAAATACTGTTTCATTTGAGCAGACGTGGACGTGTGTAAATGTGTCACCATATGTCAAATGCATTTGGATGACCTCAAGATCACGTGGATCAGCCATACGTTTAATGCTGTACCCGCATTGGCAGATATGTTTGATACGTTGGATGTTTGTATCCACATCTGACAGGTCTAATTTTGATGTGAACATACCTAATTCATAGCATTTTTCTTCTTCTTTTTCCACTTCTGTGACGCATATTCACATCGACAACAAAACCTCTGAATTGTGCCACTTGAATCATGCAGTGTAAATCCAGCCTTTGTCTCCTGCTGCTACATGTGCTAGCTGCACTGCTTGGCTTATGGGCACTCTGATCAGACTTTTGGGGTTTTTGCGATGATTGTGTTAACAGTTAGCATCATACTTAGGGTACAGCCAAGCTTATATTGAATATATTTAAATCACAAGGCAGTTTTAGCTTGCTCACTGTAGAAAAACATGCTGACCTGCTGTCGATTTTAAACATGTTGTTTATATGTTTTGGGTTTTTTTTTTTTTTTTTTTTTTGCAGTAATTTGAATAGTCTTGGTTCTGGTAAATGCATAACTTCTAGAACCCCCTTTTTTTTAATCAATATAGTTTAGTCTTCCGTAAGTGGGGCTTCATGTGTTCTTTTCTCGAGGCAATAAGCTACGGCTCATGGTTAATAGGGTAAACGACAGAATCTACCAAAAGAGATTGGTGGCGGACGCGCTGCTCCCACCGTCAATTGGCGATCGCTTTGTTTTTGTGGGAATCAAAACGGAAATCTCTCCCAAAGGAATACATTAGCCTGACATTCCCCTTCACTGTACTTTGACCTCCATTTTGAGCGACACGCGTGCACCCTCAAATACAGCTCGTCATGTCATTTGAAATGAGCACGTTGTATGAGAGACACATGCCCTGGCACGCCCACTAATCCCCCTACCTAAGGGCCACCGACGTCCCCCTAATGAAATCAAGTTACTTTTATTTTTTTTGAGGGGGTGTGCTAATACCTCTTTTAATTGCCTTGGATGAATGGCATACACATCTTCTGTTACTATATTTGTATGCTGTCAATATTTGGGTTCAGGTCAAAATTCTGGTTCCTGAAACATTCGGGATAAGCCGGTTGGTTCCCTGCCTGAGCAGAGTTGCTCTGTCACGGTAATTGTCCCGAAATGGTAATTGTGCTCAATTGGAATATCCTCATCTAAACGGCAACGCACGGACAACGTCATGACGCGAGTAGGCGTCATTTCCGCTTCTTTCTTTCTACCATCAATAAAATACGTTCACGTTGATCACCTCACTAATAATGTCATAGGCTTCCTCCTCACTCCACAAGCGTGGTGCTGTGCCGTGTCTGAGGTTTGCCTTGTTTGTGTACCTCTGCTTGTGTATTTACGGTGGGCCGCGTGCCAGATGCCCCCTCCAAGTAATTTCTGTATTCAAAACACCAAATTCCTTGTGGATAAACCATGCGCAGAACATAATTGGGCGTTTCAGTGGGGATATTCCAATACGTGTTTACATGACCAAATATTCGGGTTCAAACCAGAGTCTTATTTGAGATTTTCAAAACCGGAATAGAGCAAATTGGGGTTTTTGCGGGTTGCCTTGCGCAACCGGAGCGTTGCTAATATTCCGCTTTTGAAAGCGTTATTGACTGCATGTAAATGTATTCCGTGTGTTCCTTCTGCCCTGCCTTTGGGCTTTATATCGCTTACTTTCTGTCAACAACAAAAAAATGCCTTTATGTTGCTAAATTTTTGCCTTCTCTGCAACATCTCATTTATTTGTATTTTGCGTTGTTGCTTCTCAAAGCAACTTTTGACTGACTGTTGGAAACAGTGTCCTCTAGTGGTTAATCGTAGACCTGCATTATGGACAAATGGACTTGGCAAGTGCTTTCTATCCCACCACGCAATTCCCTTTTGTGAGCATTACGCTCGTGGTGTTGTCTTCAGTAATAAGAATGGTCCGTAATTGTCTTCAGTTAATACTATATTAGTATATTCGACAGTATTCTATTCAAACGGTGGAACTATCTGTAAATATAATGGCCCATCTGAACCCCCACAAACTGCTATAGACGCCACACATTTTTAACGTTGATGATTTTTCCACCAACAAAAAAAAAGTGCTTGGTTTATTGAAAATTATCATTCAATATTTGAATTGTTTTATCTTTTAAAATGTCTGTTTTTTTGCGGGTAACCTGATTCCGTGCGACCTGGGTTTGGGGGATTAGGCATGGGCATTAGACTACATTTCGTTGACAAACTTTTAATTGATGAGCAATCGAAGAATCTTTTTTAATCATAGTAAACATTAAAGGAGAGACGTATTGTGCATTGTTTTTACAATCTTGAACAGTTCCAAGGCATTTATATAATCTGTGGCACGCTTTTGTCAAAACACCCCAAGAATCATGAATTGCAGCGCACTCCGCGCCCTGTTTCTTGTCTTCCTGAAATTTGCTCGTTTTTAGGAGCAGGCCCTGTCTCCTGCAAGTGAGTTAGCCTTCATCCTCAGCCAAGCCCAGCTTTCATTACCATGACAACTGGGGACATAGCCTGATCTTTGTAAAATAGAGTCTTCGCATGACTCCCCTTGTCATCTCGCCTGCTAGTGTGTGCACAACAGCCGGTAGGATGTTGCCGAGTGCGTGTGTTCCGATGGCGTTCTCTTCTGCCGCATCGCTCGGGTAACATCAGCAAAAGTGTCCAAAATCTGACCAAAACTGTTAAATGCCAGATTTTCTCTCCTTGCTTACACCCAATTAAATAAAAGTCACATTTAAACATATAAGTGCTTTGTAAAAAAAAAAAATGACATCAGTGGTCTTCTATAGACCAGCATCTGTGCTGGTTGTAGTCAAATCATTCACTCCCTTTAGCCCCAATAATCAATGCCATGCGATGGACGAGTTCTGAACCATCACTTAATCCTTGTGTTTGATTGCCATTTTTAAATATATTTTAAGTTGAGTCCGGGAAAAATGTACTTTATTTGAAATATACCAATTCAATGGTTTACCTCAATATTTAAAAAGTAGTGTTGCTGCTCATTGTAAAATAATAAATAAATAAAACCACCAAAAAAAAAAGAACTACAAATGATTTTAAGTTAGTGGTTTTGCTCTGGGCCAGGAATAGATGAAGGGATTTGTGATAGCGTTTTTTTTTTTTTTTTTTTTTTTTTTTTTTCTTCAAGTATGTATTTTAAATAGGATACGCTCTGGGACAAAAATGCCATTAGTTGACGTCACGGCGACACGTCAACGTAATCAAACCGTAGAACTAGCTTTGTTTTTTGCCTTTTTTGCTTAAATGAGAATTCTATCGTAAGATAATTATGCATGCGTTTTAATAAGATTATATGATACGGTTTGAAGCCAGTTTTTTTTTTTTTTTTTGCCCCCTTTTTGTTTCATGTCAGACTGTATTTGAGCCTCTCGAGTGCGGAGGGAGGCGGCCGAGGTACTGCTGATCATGGGGTGCTGCGAATGCGTGATCGACGTCATCCGTTTTCCGAGGACGTATTATGTAAATACGTGAGAACTGCTGTTTTTATGCCACGAGGGGGCGCCGTCAATTCAGAGATACAGTAAGGGGCGCCAAGAACATTATACCTCTTTTTCTACAGTAGCATTTCAAGGAAAAAAAAAAAGTCTTTTGATATGATCAAAAAACTCAAGTTAGATACTGTTAGCCCAGCCGCTGTAAGTTTGATTTTAACTTATTCAGACGACAGTTGTAAAAATATGCTAACACTGAACCGTGTTCTCCTTTGGCTTCTAGTTTGCATTATCAAATCAGGTTAACAACTGTGTGTTGCTTTTAATCTTATTTGACAGTCGTTTTTCCTCTATTTTTTTTTTTACTGTAACACAACACGTTTGATCCTTTTTTTTCTTCCTCTGTAGATTCCCACCTAAGTTGTCTTATTAGTAAGCCTAATTTATACTTTTGTAGCAACACTATTTTTATATAATGACAAAGTAAGTTCAGTGTCTTTTTGTTGTTGTTTTGTGTCTTCTAATGGCAGCGCTGTTCAAAACTGTTTCTGGACGACGTAACCCACTGTAGTATGTGATGTGTGAATAAACTCCTAATCTGTGTCTAAAGCCTTGAGTACATGATGCCATACTTGTCTGTCTTCCAACCTTTGGTATTGCAATGTCACAGATTTGGAGTTGCAGGGAGTGTGAGCAGATATTGTAGAACTCCATAATGTGTTATGCTGCCAAAAGCCCTCTGTAATGCTACAACCTAAAACTGAATTTTAGAATATGTCCATCAAAGACCTAAATTTTATTTTGGCACGTTCAAATGCATTGTATTGTCTAACATTTTATCCAGAGAGATTTGTTTGTGGCTATTTCAAGGAACACGAGCAGCTGTCCATCTTTGTACTACACTCGACCGCTAGATGGCAGTGCCCCTTTAGATTTAACATAGGTTCAACTTGGTCCAGAGACGCTTCTGAAGACAACCCCAAAATCAAGATTGTACAACCTTCATCTGGTTGTTTCATTGAAATGTCTTTGCTGGTGACTTGACACAAGGAGTGAAGGTCGTATCTAATTATTTGTTTCATGTTTGATGGCAAGGCGTCCTTCACCCACATGCAGTGACAAAACAATTTGCTGTTGCCCAATTACACTACTTGCAAAGCCACTCTGAAAGAGTGAACCATTTCATTGGTTGAGTGGCCTCAAGTGGGAGTTTCGGCGCATATAATCGGTTTGTATATTTCCTGTGTGCATACATAGAAATACATAGAAGCACAATGACCAAAAAAAAAAAAAAAAAACGTTAATCAAACTAATTTAATAGTTGCCGGGCCGTATAGAAAGGCGTCTGGATCCGGGCTCGGGGGTAGCGCCATCCTGCTCGTCTGCTCACTGAGCAAGAACAGCCAGGAAGGAAAGAGACATTCTCCTCTTCCTCATCTTCATCTCCTTCCTGTATGAAGCACCTGACTTATCAGGAGTGACACGAATGTACAGAAGTGCCAGGGTGCATTCTGCCGGCCTGCTGTCAGGTGTCGTTCCCGCTAACACTCCACCTAGGCTGTGACCTCATAAGCCCCTGAGCCTGCATTTGGCACCTTGCCCGTACTGCACCGTCTGCCTGCTCCTCTGGCCGCCTCTGCAGATGTATACGGTGCATACGTGCATCTCATAAAATTGTATGAAAGCCCCCCCAAAAAAAGCTGTTCCAAGTAGAATTTCATCCAGAAGAAAATCAAATAGAAGGTGTGTCAGAAAGACTATGTCACTAAACGTATTCCAAACCCAACCTACAAACTATGAGTTTTTCCCCTTCAATTTGGGCCAGAACGTCAATCCTGCTCCCTGAAGAATACAATTAGAAGTGCATAAAGACGTATCAGAGAAGACTGCTGAAAATGTGTTTAGACTCCAGACGGATTACTTTGAGAGGGCTAACTTATAGTTTCGATTTTAAATGCATCTTTGTTGATGCGACTGAACTTCTCTGACAGACCATGTGTTCATATATTCCACACGGTGGGAAAAGTTAAATAAGAATTCCAACTTAAAGGGGAACCCGAGTCAAGAAAGTTCTTTCCAATAATGTGCTCTATGCACCCCCATTTGTCTAAACACGGTATTCGGCTTAATATGATATTTGTAGAATATGGATGAAGCGGCAAAATCCGCCTGTTTTTATCCGTCTCACGACGCTGCCAATTTCGCCACTTGCTGTCAACTGAAAATGACATCACAGCGCCTGGGAGGGGCTGAGGTAACGACCAAAATGTCATGTGACATTTGCAAGCTGAGCTCTACGGCACTGTGATGTCATCTTCAGTTGCCAGCGTGTGTCAGAACAAGGCAAAATGGCCGCCCCCTGAAATGCATGGATGGATTTTTCTGCATGTGTGTTCGACAAATGCAGTACTCATCAGAATGCTGTGTTGAGACTATTGAGGGCGCATGGAACACATTGTGGAGACAAATTTTGACATGACTTTCCCTTTCACTTTATTTAATGAATCTCATTCAGTACCAGCCAATTCTAGACCAAGTCTGAAAAGACGTTTAAAAACGTCTTTGGGAGTGAATGAGTTTAATAAATCATTCAAATAAAGTACTGATGTAAACAGGGACCCTCCAGCCCAAATGGAGGAACCCGTGCCTCCTTATAGGGCAATGAGAAACAGGTAGTTTGTCCCAGCCACCGTTTTCTGCAAGGGTCCCTTGCAATTGAAAGGTTCATTTCTATAGAACGGCGTGTATGTACAAAGTGTGTGTGCGAAGGCTAACTACACGGGCAAAGTCAAACATCCACCACCAGCACTCCTTCCCCGAGTGAAGCCCCGCGATGGGGAATTTCCGAGGCATTTAAAAAATTCATGTCCGAGTTGGCATTATGTGACTTGTCCAAAAAAATGACGTTTGACTGGAGGAGGCCCGACTGCGTGGCCGCTGTGCCGAAAGGAGGTCAAGGTTAAATTCTGCGGCGGTGCTATAAATAGCCCCCGAAACGTTGTTACCCCCCCCCTCCCCCAGCCCCCCACCTCCGTCACTTCCAACCCAACAGATCTCACTGTTATCATTTATTCATCGCCACCATGATCCAGACGTTCCGTGCAGCTGGAAAAAGCAGCATGTCATTCGCATTGTGGACTGTTGGATTTAGGGAAACAGGCTTGTTTGCTCTCCACACACTCGCGTCATTGCCAGCACCGAGTGTGTGTAACTTGGCGGGGAAGTTACTATGAGTCGTGAGTTAAAGTGGACTCCTCTTCTTCAAACAATCTGCTCCTCCTGTTCTTTCTTTTGCCTTTTTTTTTTTTGGTCTTCAACCCTTCCTCTATAAATGTCTTCCATTGCATATTCCCGACATTGCCCCCTGTTTTTTTTTTTTTTTTGCATACCAAATTTTAATAGCTTGTAACTGCCCCCAAATGTTGGAACCAATGTTCATTTTCCAACATCGCTGCCTTATCGTGTCGGACCCATGCCGTGTCAAAACAGCTTTTCTCTTTCCAGCAATCTGAAAGAAGTTTTATCCGTCCAATGTATTTAACCCTTTCAGGGACAGCGGTCGCTACAGTGGACAGCTTATCATTTCTGTAGGATAAATGCTGTATTTCTGTTGAGAAACTTTTACTTTTTTTAAATGGCTTGTACACAAATAGTTGGGCATTCATCTAGTATGAAATTAAAACAGTTTTATCTCGTGACAAATGGCCTCATCCACGTCCTTAGGAGTGAAACGTCACATCGAGGTGACTTGATTTCCTATCCACCGTGACGTTTTAGAAAGGCATAAAAATGTCATTGTTCAAATACTTCCGAATCTAAATCATCGATCTCATTCAAGTGACCCAAGTGTACCGATTGTTGTGGGCCGTTGTGATACTCCCGGCTTTTGCATTATCGCTTGTCACGGGCGAATTGTTGGTTTTGAACTGAATATTTTATCGCTCAAAAGAAAAAGCTCAATTCCGAGTGATTTAATATCCAGTGCCGTTTTGCATCCTATACTCTCTCCACTCATTTTCCATGATTTATAACCCCTTTTGGCCATGACTATTCCTGTGGGAGAATAACTCCCTGGCACAGGCGCCAATTGGGCAATTTTGATTTGATAGGATGCTGAAAAATGACCCATTTATTAGCTTTGATAATTAGAGCGAATGGATCATCGCAATTTTCCTAAGCCTGGCATGAAAAGGGAATGAGCTTGCAATTTGGGTACATGATGCATGATTTATAGTCAAATGGGAGTAAGCGTGGCTCATCGCCGAACTATTTGATGTATTTATGTTTTTTTCTTCCCCTCTCCATGGTAACGTGTCAATACACTAATATGAGCTTAAACAACGTTTTGTGTGTGCGCGTGCGTGTGTTCGTGCGTGTGTATGTGTGCTTTCCTCCCAAAGTGTCGCAGTTGTGGCGAGGACGCGAGGGCACTCCAGGTGCAACGTGATGACGCATGTTCATGTCGGAGTCCTTGGCAGTGTCCTTCAAAATGAGGGGGGAAATGCAAGGCAAGAGGCAGGTTTGTTTTACAAGGTTTAATCATTCCCGACGCCATTAAAAAGAAAGAAAAAAAAAAAAGGATGAGCTGATTGATCAGGCTTTATTGATCTGCCACAACCCTTTGACCTCCCGATTGATGTCGGGCCTTATAATGAGGCCTCAGATCAGAAGCTTTAGGGTTTGCGGAAGGCTACCCACGGGAGTGGTGGCTTGCGCGCGCACACACACACACACGCATACAGTGCAGCTCAATCAACTTCGTACCATTGTTACATCGCCATGCCCTCGATAACCCCAATTTGCATAATCGGCTTTTTGCATTGTGTGGCCCAGACACATTAAGGTGCGGCATTGCATTGTTAACTGCGAATCAGCATGCAACCATTGTTTGCTCATCTGCATTGTTTATTTATGCCACAGCATGTGTTTTTCAGCTTTAGCGCCGGCCCGCTAAAGGCATGACGCCGCCTCTTCCGCCCCGCATATACATTACAGCTGCCCGTCGCGGTCGTGTCAACAACGCACATACTGTTGTTGACACACTGGGCACACCCCGAAGCGTAGGAGTCGTATTTCTCATGTCACGTAGTGTTCCCCTTGTTTACCGTATGCATACTGGACATTCCAGTCATTTTTTTTTTC